TCCCTCTCCCCCGTTGCCCATTTTTCCACTTAACACCTACTCCCTCGGCAAATATTTCCTCGCCCCAATCCTCCCCAGTTACCAAATCTAAGATGGCGGCCTAATACGAAAATGTGCACTTGTGCGCCCAAAATACGCCAGCACTGCAGGCTATTAAGAGCTTTGTACAAGAATGTAATATCGAAGAGATAGCGTCTCTTTTCAAGGGACCGCATGTTGAGGCATTTCATACGATCTTCGTAACTGGTTTTATTTTGTCCTAAGATAAATTTTGTTCCCCTCCGTTGGATGCCCTCCTGTTTGTCAATATTTCTTGTGGCATAAGGCGACCACACTACCGATCCATACTCCGCTTGCGATCTCACTAGTGTGCAATACAAGGTTTTCTAAGTCTCAGTATCCTTCCAACCTCTTCATGTTCCTTTAATCAGACCTAAAATTCTATTTGCCCTACTTGAAACTGAGTCGATATGAGAATTTTAAGAGAAATAACGGTTGGTTAGCAAGCCCGGGTCACGAAATTCGTCAACTTCCTCCAGGACAGATCCTTTTAAGGTGAAGTTGGAAATAAGGGGATGGTTTTTCATGCTAATTCGCATCACCTTGCACTTCTTAACATTGAAATCCATCCTATTCCGTTCACTCCAAGTACAAAGCCTTTTTAAATTAATCCCCTTGAAACAGCAACTGATCGTTTGGGCAGGATATCACTCTATATGCTTAGCAGTCGTCAGCGTACGAAGAATAGAGGGCCCAAACTGGACTCCTACGGCACACTAGATGGAGTATTCAGCCAAATTGAACTCTTGCCATCAATCCCAACCCTTTGTGTACGATTTGATAAGTAGTCGCTACACCATGCCAACAACGACCCTGAGATTCCAATAATTCATTCAGCAGTATCCTGTGATGCACGCGATCGAAGGCTTTTGCAAAGTCCAAAAACACTGCGTCAACCTGAAGACCGTCGTCAACCGCTTCACGCCACATGTGATGCACAAGTACCAGCTGGGTTATACAAGAACGCCCTTTCACGAGGCCATGCTGCCAGTTGTTGAGAAAAGGTGATACATGAGAGTAGATGGCCCGGTGGACAATTCTTTCCTGGCATTTGCCCAAGATCCACAACAGAGAAATCGATCTATAGTTTTCTACATTTTCCTTGGTATTTACCTTTAAGTTTGTGATGACTTTAAAGAGAGGGTTCTTAAAAAAACTCCACAACTACAGGCAACTAGGGGAGCAGGGATGGCGCAGTGGTGAGAGCGCTCACCTCCTATCGCTGTGGCCTGGGTTCGCTCCCGGACGTCACACCCAATCACGTCAAACGTCAAACGTCAAACCCAATCCACGTCACACGTGGATTGGGTTTTTTGTTGGTTCTCGTCCTTTCTCCGAGGGTTTTTCTCCGGATCCTCCAGTCTCCGGTCTCCCTCTTCAAAATCCAACACTGCAAATTCCAATTCGACCTAGAAAAAGTGGACAAGAAGGGCCGCCCAGTGGAATGTTCATTGCCAAATTTCCCATATTGCAATACCACTCAAGTATTGCACTGATACAAATATTAAGAATTTTTGTTGGACGGGGAAATACAGTTGCAGCTTTCTGCCGATGAATAACTCTTGTTCGCAACTGAAAGTTATCTTCATAAGACGTTGATGTACGTGCAATTTAAGTATGGAAATTTGTTTGTCCCTCTTACAGCCATAATATTCACAAAGTATGAAATGAGTCAGCCCGTTTGTTCCTATTTACAGTCAAAAAATAGAAATTACTTCCTTCTGGAAACAGTTCCTGTGTAGTAAAACTTTATTCGTGTTTTTGAGGACGGTTTTACTTGATATTTCATTAATCTTTTCATATTAACGAGGCACCAATTTCTCCATTTTTTACGAGTAATAATTAAAGACAAAAAATTTTTTTCTCAAGAAAGTTTTAAAAAATCTAACCTCACTTGACCACTAGGCAAACAGAGCTGTGAAACATGATATTTATTACAAACGCTAAATTTGTTTCAAGGTCCGTTTTTACCGTCTTTTCGAAGCTACTAATTAATGTGGGAAAGTTAAGAGTTAGTTCATGCTCAGCGTGCGCATATCGAGTTATGGATGCACGCGGGACGTTTGGAGAACACGAAAAATGCATAAGAGTAGCCCCGAGAGCACTTTAGCTTTTTGAGGGCTCTCCAAACTCCCCGAGCATTCATAACTCGATATACGCACAGCTAAAATCATGAAAAAATATTCTTTTACAACAGAGAGAAAACAAGGATTTGCGCGAAGAAACTTTTTTAATGCGATAGAATGCAAAATTTTCACAACACACAAAAAAGTAAACAAACGTCCCTAATTGCTGGTCAAAAACACGCCACATTTTGTACTTTGGTTTGAGTGAGAAGAATTGATCCGGTTTACCGATAACTTCCAATGAAAAGCTCAAAATTAACTGAGAAAATTGAGAAAATCAAAGCTAAACGAACTCAAGTGTCAGTATAAAATGTTTTAAAAGGCAAAGACCCAGGGCCGAAGATATCAAGAGTTTTGATTGTTCAAAATAACATTCACACTGCTGTGCACGGAGCAGTATTGGAGAAGACAGACCGCAGGAAAGTTGTAGTTTTTCCCTAGGCAACCACCACACTGTTATTTTGACGAACATTTAGGGCTGCAGCAAAAGACAGAACTTGTAAAGATTTTAACCGAACCAAATCTTTGGTTTCAATCGCCAATATTTTAAAGAGAAGGAAAACTGCACTGCAGCTTAATAGGGATAGTGGTCAAATGATTCAAACCTGGACCTGGATTCTAAGAAAACCAAGGCCATTCTTATCTCAACTCCACAGATGGCTCATGTACATTCTCTCGGAAATCTGGAGTTGGGATTAGAAATCTCCGGTAAACCACTGGAACGTATAAATGTTACAAAACTCCTGGGAGTACACATTGACTCATATCACGGCCTATCGGGTGCGTTCGAGTTCACAGCTGACTGTAGAGTCTGGTGTGGTTGTGCGTATCTGCTGATACCAAAACAGGACAATGACAAGTAGTGTTTTATACTTCATTTGTGCGAATTTTCAAAGGTGCAGTGTGTATGGCTCTTTTCATCAATCCCTAAATTAATCTCTATTAAGCTCACAGCGCCGTAGGTCTTTTCCCGGCCCTGCACATGTCATTGCGTTCGGCCCCTTATATTTTTTTCTGAAGCGTACAAGGATTTTTTTTGTCCAGTGTTTTTCAGTAAAGGCACCCTCTGGGTCGTACGGGTCATATAACAATGCATGTTATTTTAAGTGATAATACTCATAAGGCTCTGAGCCTGCGTTACATTTGAATCGGTTTTGTCCACAGGGGGAGATGTCATCGTCGTTATCGGGGGAGATGACAACTACAAGGGAAACGATGAAGAGAATCGAGAGGTTATTTCACGTTGGGCGAAGAGGAAAGTTGCCACACAGTTCGGCGAAGAGTATCTTGATGGTAGAAGGAGCTTCATCTTTTCTTGGAACAAACAACATAGACCGATTCACGAACATGCTCTACTGCATCACTTTGATCGAAACAAGAAAGGACAAAAGTTTGAATATAATCCACCTCAGCGAAAGGAACCACCAAAGCCAGCGACGCCATCGCCGAAAGAAAGAACGCTCCCTTCCTCACAAAGAAGTTGTTCCTCGTCAGTCGAACGACAGTCTGCATCAAAAATGCCAACGAAACAAGACAGTTCCCTGTATCAGTATGAAGTGTTTACTGGACCAAGGAAGGATAGAGAAGAGCACACTTCTGCACACCCTCTCGATAGTACAACTATGAGCAGCAGTATCTTGAGGGACAGGGAAAACACAGCAATTAGCAGTGATCCAGGAGCCAGATCCAAGGAAATGATCCCTCCACAAATTGGACAAACCAAAGGTTAGAATGAAGTCTAAAAAACAGATTTAAAGGAGAATAGTAAGACCCCTTCTCCACTTACCTGAAAGGTGATAGATATAGATAATAATTCTTGTTTTGCTCTGTGCTAGTTCATATCAAAAAGGTAATTTTTTTGCTCTTTTACAGTCTTTAGAGTAAATAAATTTGATAAGTAAGTATTAGATGGGCAATTAAACTAATGTTACACCTATAATATGTCTGTTGCTGTTGGCCAAACAGTGAGCCTTTTAATCTCAATTGCTGAGATCAACACGCCTTGTGCTGAAAAGATTTCAGGTAGGCGTGCTTCTGTTCAGTAATAGATCATATATGACGCTAAAATTTGGTAATAACAAAAATGTTGCCCACACAGTCAAAGGAAAAGCATGCTACGCAAACCATCTTATTTTCATCACCGACTAATGTGAAGTCTCAAACGTCTGCTTTCTATCTCTTTAATATGTCTTTGAATAGTTAAGAGCTTAATGAAAATACACAATTGACTAAAATGATGATGCTTTTGTTGTGGTTTGGCGTGTACAGCCAGGTACCATAACTAAGTTGTTTTCAAAATGTAGGAGTCCATGGTTGAATTCTTAGTGCAATTGCAAACAATTTTCTAACAGGTAGATTACCCTTGAGAATCTCAATATGCGTACTTCTCCTTTAAGAAACATTTTAAGTGTACGACCACCTGTGTTTCACTCGTTAGAACTGGCGATTTTTGGCTGTGACGTGTCACAAGAGTCCGTTAAGGATGTAGAAAATTTTTTTAAAAGTCTTCCATCCAGCCTCCTTCACTGGTCAGAGGATCCTTATGTTGCCAACCTTCCAATCACTAAAGTCGAAGATTGCTTGAGGGATTGTCACTTCAGATTCTCGGTGTTAGTGGTGGATGTTTTTACAGTTAGGGATGGTTATGACAATCAAAGATCAAGGGAATTACAACGACTTGTTAGACTTGCAGTGGATAAAGGGGGTAAGTCTTCGAATTAAGATCATTAAGTTACTCCTCAGGGCCAAGACATCTCATCAAAATTGTTCGAACCACCCTTTCTCTTTATATTGTGATATGGTGAATGCTCTCATCGTCATTACTCAAGTTGCTCTTCGATGCATTTAATCACAAATAATGTCTCTCCGTTTGACCAGAAACAATCTTACCGCTCAATGCCTAAGTAGCGAAATCATTGTCTGAGAGAAGGGGTAGGGATGGTCTAGGAAAGAGATGATCATACCTGACTGTACGGTTATGTAGTTTTAAGTTAATTGTGTCTTGTTTCTTATTCCGTTTTTACGTCAGAACGTGGAATACTCCTCTGTTTTTTCGTCAAGCTAGATCGCCTCAATCAATTTAGTGGACTCCTCTCAAAACATATAAAGGGGACAAGTCTCTGACCAAATTGGTGGTGCGTTGATGGGGGAATAAAGAGATAATTTGGTTTTATCAACTGAGTGGATTGACGGTGACCAATTTACATTGTCACCTAAGTCGATAAGACCAAATCATCTTATAACATAACCAAAGTAAAGCGCGCGCTCTGATTGGTCAATTTAGCGTCCCCCATTTGCCCATGGGTGTACGCTGCTGACGTGAGCAAATGCAAAGACTATTTTTCCGCGCGCGCTTGTTTTTTCTGGTCGCGTAAGATTTGTTAAATAAAAGGGAACTCTTTAGCTACAATGTATCAATGTTATGTTATAAAACAAATGGTAAACACCACAGCGTACACTATTGAGTTATGGATGCACTTGGGAGGTTTGCTAAGCACTCAAGAAGCTAGAGTCGCTCTCGGCTATCGCCTCGAGCGACTCTTACGCTTCTTTCGTGCTTAGCAACCTCCCGCGTGCATCCATAACTCAATAGTGTACGCTGTGGTGTTTACCATTTGTTTTATAACATAACATTGATACATTGTAGCTAAAGAGTTCCCTTTTATTTAACAAATCTTACGCGACCAGAAAAAACAAGCGCGCGCGGAAAAATAGTCTTTGCATTTGCTCACGTCAGCAGCGTACACCCATGGGCAAATGGGGGACGCTAAATTGACCAATCAGAGCGCGCGCTTTACTTTGGTTATGTTATAAGATGATTTGGTCTTATCGACTTAGGTGACAATGTAAATTGGTCACCGTCAATCCACTCAGTTGATAAAACCAAATTATCTCTTTATTCCCCCATCAACGCACCACCAATTTGGTCAGAGACTTGTCCCCTTTATATGTTTTGAGAGGAGTCCACTAAATTGATTGAGGCGATCTAGCTTGACGAAAAAACAGAGGAGTATTCCACGTTCTGACGTAAAAACGGAATAAGAAACAAGACACAATTAACTTAAAACTACATAACCGTACAGTCAGGTATGATCATCTCTTTCCTAGACCATCCCTACCCCTTCTCTCAGACAATGATTTCGCTACTTAGGCATTGAGCGGTAAGATTGTTTCTGGTCAAACGGAGAGACNGAAACAACCACCACCACCAACCAATATATTCTACATATTTACTTTCATGTATAGTTTTTATTACAATTTAGTAAGTCATTATAATTTAGTTTTAACATTAAATATTAGTATCGTAGGCCTTCACAGATGAAGAGCCACACCTTTTATGTGGATATACTGTGAATAAACCGTTATTATTATTATTATTATTATTATTATTATTATAGTGTATTTTGTAGACTGGACTGGACTGGACTGGTAAAACGCGGGCTAGTAAAACGCGGACATGCTTTTCCCTGTTTGTAAATCGAATAAAACTTAACGGTAACGGACTTAACAACAACAACAAATCTGGCGTATGTCAAACCCATTTGTAGCTTAAAGGTCAAACAGGGACTGTTACTCACTAAGCTGTCGAAATGAATTAGCATAACATCAAATGGACAAAATTTTTAAAATTAAGTCTTGTGATCGCCTTCGTATGAAATTGTTTTTTTTTTGTATAACGCGAACTAGTAGAAAGATGAAATCGTTTTACTAGTACTCGTTATACAAGTCCGCGTTTTACTAGTCCGCGTTTTACAAGTCCGCGTTTTACTAGTCCTCATTTTACAAGTCCGCGTTCTAGTCCACGTTTTACAAGTCCGCGTTTTACTAGTCCAGTCCAGTGCAGTCCTCAAAATACAATATGCCATAATATTGCGTGATATTTTTGGGATTTGCGATACACATGTCGATCAAAACTAGTTACAGGTTTTCTCGGAAGCATTGCGTAGTTCTATTCTTTCCTCAATGATCAATTGATCAGTAATATCGTGTATTCAACCGGGTTCTTAACGGTAGCTACGCTCAGAACGTAAGATATGTCGCAGACTAGAAAGCGAGTTAATTTTTTCAACTGTGATAACACATACGGGATGGAGCCTGTTGAGAAGTTGTTGGACGAAGTAAAGAAGAAATTGCTTGACCAATTCAGCATCCATGTTAAGCCTGTAAAGCAATATTTCAGATTTAGAGAAATGTCTGAAATGATCGTCATAATTCCAACCCTAGAGATGGCTATGGCCTTTTTCGTGGTTCATGCACATGAATCTCGACTCTCGATCAATAAAGACAACGCTGGAATTGCAAATGGTTACGCCAAGATATACAGAGCTTTACTACAAGCAACGGGTGAGGAGCAGAATTATTCTTATGTAAACATATTTTGTCCATAATGTTCGCTTAGTTAAAGTGCCTATAATGTCAAAAAACGTTTTGCGCTCATCTAATTCTACATTTCACCATATGAACTTCGGTGAAAAAATTTTTCGATTTGGATAAAACGCAATTTTTTTACGAATTTTTACAAAGTTCAAAATTCTATTTTCTTGCGGTCAACCCCTGCCGCTGATCACAAGAGTAACGTGCTCAAAATGACCACGTGACTGATGTCTGTGACGTAGGTTCAGGAACCTCACTTGACCTTAAGTTTAAAACCAACGTTGTCACAAAGAGCGGCAACGCACCTTTCGGGCATTGTAAACTAAATGGAGACTACTCTGAAGCAAATTCCAACCTGTTTTCAAGTGAGATAAGTCAGAACCNTAGAAAATTTTTTTAAAAGTCTTCCATCCAGCCTCCTTCACTGGTCAGAGGATCCTTATGTTGCCAACCTTCCAATCACTAAAGTCGAAGATTGCTTGAGGGATTGTCACTTCAGATTCTCGGTGTTAGTGGTGGATGTTTTTACAGTTAGGGATGGTTATGACAATCAAAGATCAAGGGAATTACAACGACTTGTTAGACTTGCAGTGGATAAAGGGGGTAAGTCTTCGAATTAAGATCATTAAGTTACTCCTCAGGGCCAAGACATCTCATCAAAATTGTTCGAACCACCCTTTCTCTTTATATTGTGATATGGTGAATGCTCTCATCGTCATTACTCAAGTTGCTCTTCGATGCATTTAATCACAAATAATGTCTCTCCGTTTGACCAGAAACAATCTTACCGCTCAATGCCTAAGTAGCGAAATCATTGTCTGAGAGAAGGGGTAGGGATGGTCTAGGAAAGAGATGATCATACCTGACTGTACGGTTATGTAGTTTTAAGTTAATTGTGTCGTGTTTCTTATTCCGTTTTTACGTCAGAGCGTGGAATACTCCTCTGTTTTTTCGTCAAGCTAGATCGCCTTAATCAATTTAGTGGACTCTTCTCAAAACATATAAAGGGGACAAGTCTCTGACCAAATTGGTGGTGCCGTTGATGGGGGAATAAAGAGATAATTTGGTTTTATCAACTGAGTGGATTGACGGTGACCAATTTACATTGTCACCTACGTCGATAAGACCAAATCATCTTGCTCTTAAGCCCCCTCCAGAGTATTAAACATGACTCAGTTTTTCGAAGCACGACCTACACCACTGCAAACTGTCAGTTTGACATTTTGCCGTAGTGGCATGTAAATCCGGCCGGGTTGCTGGACGAGTGTTAATCATTTTCAAATAACTCGACTTAAAAAATTTTGGAAAATACATGACTAGCATTGAATGACAATTCAATCGGTGAGAGAGAAAGAACACAGTAGTCTTAAAACTTAAGATTTTAATTAAGTAGAGTTGAGTGTTTTTATTTTGTAAATAAAACGTCATACCATACGGAGCATCATACCATACCAATATTTATGATATCTTTTCGCACTTTTTTCACAGTTGAAAAAGTCATCATCTTGCTTTGTAATGGGCAATCAACAAAGGGTGAAGTTACATACAGTGTGTTCACTGAAGCAACCAGTAAAATGGATAAGGTGTCTGTTTTTGAGTTAAATGACGGAAAGGTGAAGTTGGATCCATATGATTTTTTCGAAGTTGTGATGTTACAGGAGAGAACTTCGTCACTTAAACAAGCGCATGAAAGCGTTTACCCCTGTCACACAGAATTAAGAAGAGACTATCCTCCATACGATCCCTCAGAAAGGAAAAGCATTTATGAGAGAGGTGTTCAGAATACCCCTCAGCCTGTACTGGCCACACAATCAAAAGAAAACCCTTCTCCTGTTGTTTTACTGAGAGGTATCGCTCGCTGCGGAAAGATATCTGAACGGCTGGGTGACCTTCAAATATGGGACTCTGAATTTACGATTTCAGATGACTTCCAAAAGTGGCTGCTTGAAAATTACAGGAACGAACCTGAGATTGGAGTAATAGTTATCAAGTCCATCAATGACACACCTAAGTATTACATTCGTCCAAATTTGAAAGAATTTCTTTTGGACAAGGAAATATCCCTCAGACCCGATGAAAACCTCGTACTGAAAACTCGTACTAGACCAAATGAGGGAAGGACTTAGGCTGCACGGGTGCCTGGCCATGATGGAAGAATACCCATCACTCATGGAGAAACTCTTTGTGCCAGGAGAGGATTATACTGTAAGAGTTTTCCGGATAATATGTGCCTTATCATTTAGTACCCTTGTAAACTTTTCCGACATTCCTGGTTCAATCCTTCCTTTCATCATTTCTGCTTTGTATGTTTCTCTCTAAGATGAGAATGGTTTGCCATGAGAAAAGCATTTCAGTTAATTGATGTGCGAGTCTTTGGTGAAAAAGAGTCACAATGTTTAATTTCTGTGTTTAAATTAATTACTATATTAAACAACAACAAACATATGAAACATATGTGTGAAATGCGGTTATGAGACGTATACAGTTCACACATATGTTTCATATGTTTGTTGTTGTTTGATTTATCATCTACGGGTTTATATCGAATTAATTTGATGGCCTGCTCCCAGTTGGCTTGTTAGCTCAATTGGTAGAGCGCTGCACTAGTATCGCAGAGGTCAGTGGTTCGAATCCCGTACAGGCCTGAAATTTTTTTCAGGTCTGATTTTCACTATTGCTCAAATAGTGCTTTACTGCGAAGGATCGTTCTCATATACGTCTCATAACCGCAGTTCACACATATGTTTCATATGTTTGTTGTTGTTTGATTTATCATCTACGGGTTTATATCGAATTAATTTGATGGCCTGCTCCCAGTTGGCTTGTTAGCTCAATTGGTAGAGCGCTGCACTAGTATCGCAGAGGTCAGTGGTTCGAATCCCGTACAGGCCTGAAATTTTTTTCAGGTCTGATTTTCACTATTGCTCAAATAGTGCTTTACTGCGAAGGATCGTTCTCATATACGTCTCATAACCGCAGTTCACACATATGTTTCATATGTTTGTTGTTGTTTGATTTATCATCTACGGGTTTATATCGAATTAATTTGATGGCCTGCTCCCAGTTGGCTTGTTAGCTCAATTGGTAGAGCGCTGCACTAGTATCGCAGAGGTCAGTGGTTCGAATCCCGTACAGGCCTGAAATTTTTTTCAGGTCTGATTTTCACTATTGCTCAAATAGTGCTTTACTGCGAAGGATCGTTCTCATATACGTCTCATAACCGCAGTTCACACATATGTTTCATATGTTTGTTGTTGTTTGATTTATCATCTACGGGTTTATATCGAATTAATTTGATGGCCTGCTCCCAGTTGGCTTGTTAGCTCAATTGGTAGAGCGCTGCACTAGTATCGCAGAGGTCAGTGGTTCGAATCCCGTACAGGCCTGAAATTTTTTTCAGGTCTGATTTTCACTATTGCTCAAATAGTGCTTTACTGCGAAGGATCGTTCTCATATACGTCTCATAACCGCAGTTCACACATATGTTTCATATGTTTGTTGTTGTTTGATTTATCATCTACGGGTTTATATCGAATTAATTTGATGGCCTGCTCCCAGTTGGCTTGTTAGCTCAATTGGTAGAGCGCTGCACTAGTATCGCAGAGGTCAGTGGTTCGAATCCCGTACAGGCCTGAAATTTTTTTCAGGTCTGATTTTCACTATTGCTCAAATAGTGCTTTACTGCGAAGGATCGTTCTCATATACGTCTCATAACCGCAGTTCACACATATGTTTCATATGTTTGTTGTTGTTTGATTTATCATCTACGGGTTTATATCGAATTAATTTGATGGCCTGCTCCCAGTTGGCTTGTTAGCTCAATTGGTAGAGCGCTGCACTAGTATCGCAGAGGCCAGTGGTTCGAATCCCGTACAGGCCTGAAATTTTTTTCAGGTCTGATTTTCACTATTGCTCAAATAGTGCTTTACTGCGAAGAATCGTTCCCATATACGTCTCATAACCGCAGTTCACACATATGTTTCATATGTTTGTTGTTGTTTAAAGTTGAAATGGTAAATTGGCCACCGTAATGATTACAAAAGCTGACGTTTCGAGCGTTAGTCCTTCGTCGGAGCGAAGGATTTTTGGAATTTTTGGTAAGCAGAGCTAAGTTTGAGGAAGTTATCTTGTCCTATCAAATTTACAGCAAAACGTTTCTATATTTCCCCAACAATGCCATCAGACGTCGGAGTTTAAAGCACCAGTAGTTAGGTCGACGGTTGCTCTGCAGATTGGCATAATACGAAGAATTATCCAATGCAGTTGCGTCAGGGTAACAATGGGAGGGAGTTCACCGTTCGAAGTTTGTGCTTCTTTTTCGACATTTAAGGATGGGAGTAATCACATATAGCGAGGGCATCTTGGCGAGAGAGTGGTGATCTTGCTGCATGTAATTTTAATTCCCCTTCTCTCACTTTGACCGAAAGGCACTGAAAAACGCAACCAGTTTGGGAATTCTGTTAACTATTTGCATTTACATCTGATTGCAACTCGTTCAAGTTGAGTAATAGTAGAGCATCCAAACATGTTACTGCTGGAAAAGACGTGCGATTGAAACTAACATAAACGGTGAAGAAAATACGCAGAAGAATCGAAAATTAAATTTGACCTTTACCAAAAAGTTATGTGCTTTCGAGTGTCTTGGTGAAGGGAATGCTAATGTATGGTTGTCATTCAAAGAGCCAATTTATTCAGTGGTGATAGAGTCTCCCCTAGTCGTCTCGTCATATATTTTGAGCGCCGAATCATGGAATCTTTCTTTGGGAAATTTACATACAACACAGGCACAATTCACCTTTGGCAAGCATTTGCGTTAGTCAACCATATTACCTAAGACCTAATTACAGTAGTTTCATTTCCCCTCAATGACTCGATAATAAGGGACCCTGACATCACCTAGATTATTTGTGAAAATGGTTTACATTTAGAATCGACCCGTCATAAAATTTTTCTTAATCAAAGAGGAAATTATTTCTCTTGATTATATATCATGTGATATTTACCCTTTGGTAGATAAGTGATACATAGAGTCATTTTCCCATGTGCCAATAGAATGTAAGAAAATGTAACTAATAGTTCGATTCCGAAAAGTTGACGCAAACTGTACACTTCAGCTCTCTTTCTTGCAATATGCGTTTAGGTTGAAAACAACTTCCTATCGAAAGACAGGACGACAAGTCGATAAAAGATAATGTAACGCGAAGCACTACGTCCTCAGCTAATCGTGAGAACTTTTATATATTTTGGATCTGCTCATAAAAAGAGAATTTTATGAATTAGTCTAACGTTACACCAGAGCAGGTTTCTTTACATTTTTCCGCATGAAAATGGTCACAGAAACAGTAACTGACAACGAAACAGTTAAAAATACCATTTAAGTTATAATTCAGTAATACATTCAACGTTTGAATCTGTTTTATTCACAGGAGGAAATGTCGTCATTGTTATGGGGGGAGATGACAACTACAAAGCCGACGATGAAGAGAATCGAGAGGTTATTTCAAGTTGGGCGAAAAGGAAAGTTTCCTCACCGCTCTGTGAAGAGTATTTTGATGGCAGAAAGCGCTTCATCTTTTCTTGGAACAAACAACATCGAGCGATTCACGAAAAGGCTCAGCTGCGTCAATTTGACCCAAACAAGAAAGGACAAAAGTTCTATTATCGGCCGCCACCTCCAAAGCAACCACCCAAACTAGAACCTCAACACCAAGCAACAGGTCCACTTAAGTTTCATTTTTTCAATTGTGATGGTGTCTGTGACCTAAACGTGGTTGAAAATTTCCTCACAATTCAGCGAAGAGTATCTTGATGGTAGAAGGAGCTTCATATTTTCTTGGAACAAACATCATCGAGCGATTCACGAACAAGCTCTGCTGCATCACTTTGATCCAAACAAGAAGGGACAAAAGTTCGAATATAATCCATCTCAGCGAAAGGAACGATCAAAGCAAGCAACGCCCCAACCAGCAAGATCGAAAGAAATAACGCCGGGTTCCTCACGTAAATGTTATTACTCGTTAGTCGAACGAAAGTCGAAATCAAAGATGCCAACGAAACAAGAAAGTTCTCTGTATCCCTATGAAGTTGTAATTGATCATGAACCAAGGGTGGATAAAGAAGAGCACGCTTCTACGCACCCTCTAGATAGTACAACTATGAGCAGCAGTATCTCGAGGGACAGGGAAAACACAGCAATAAGCAGAAATCCAGGAGCTAGATCCAAGGAAATTATCCCACTACAAATCGGAGAAATCGAAGGTTAGAATATAGTCTAAAAAACAGATTTAAAGGGGAATAATGAGGTTTCTTCTCCATTTACCTGAAAGGTGATAGATACAAATATAAAATACAGTTCGTTATTAACTCTTGTTTTGCTTAGTGCTGATTCATACCAAAAGGTAATATTTTTGCCCATTTCCAGTCTCCAGAGTAAATAAATTTGATGAGCTAGTATCAGATGGGCTACTAGACTAATGCTACACCTATAATATCTCTGTTGCTGTTGGCCAGAAAGAGAGCCTTTCGATCTTGATAGCTGAGATCAATTGACCATGTGTTTTCAACTTAACAAATAGATTCCATGTAGCCGTGCTTCTGTTTAGTAATAGATCAGTAATGACGCCAAAATGTGGTAATAACATCAAGAAATGGTTAAATATTCTAGTCTTCTCGGATAGGGACGAATAAATGGAGGTCCAGTCTCCTGCAGGGTTGGGGTAGGAGACGTTAATTTCCCACACACAAGATTACTGTGTGATACGATAGATGTCCTCCCCCGGGGTGGGATGGGTGGGAAGGTGGACCAGCTTGAATGGTTCGTATGTTCCCTTCTAGTCCTTCCCCACTGCAAATTAATGCAGTGAAAATGGAATAAATTAAATTAAATTAAGTGATCAGACAACCATGGCCACTCAGTTACGGAAAAGCATGCTCTGGAAACCATCTAATTTTGCATCTTTACCATTAAAACCTATTTATGAAATTATGATACTGATGGTGATTTGAGAATCCAAAAATAACTTAACCTTTCAAAAATTGTCTTCAAATGCGCGTAAAATTTGATTGTGGACGTTGCGATTTTTGTTTGTTATGCCTAG